GATTGTTGACGTTATTTGTGTCAAACGAACGTCATCTCTCCGCGACGCAGATTATTATTATTTGGCTAGAATCGTATGTATTATTTTCGCTTATTTTACGATCAATGCGTTGTAACGTTCCCTTTTAGAATTAAGAATCGAATCGTGATATTTAGCAGGCGAAAAGCTGTAAATTATTTGCTACTAGTGCAAGTGGCCGAGTTTTCTTGGTAAATGTAGTACGAGATCGATCGGTCATTTTCCAAGACATTGCAGAAATTGTATAAAATATCGTCGATTTGTTCATTTTTTCTTATTATTTCTTCTTTATTTACCTTTGTGTGCATCTGTATGTAACAGGGATAGGTAATGACTGTGAAGATCCTTACCCTAGTCTGTCAGATTATCACGATTATGAGCCCAATCTGGAATTTGATGATACGGAATTGCAAACTACTTCAAACAATGGTAAGACATCTAATTTGTCTTAAGATATATGAGTTTTATTTTTTTATAATTTGTATATCTGCTACTATTGGTTTCAAAATTTTCTTATAATTATACGAGGGATTAATTTATATGATACAGCCACTATTGCATTTCTTTTACACAAAGTAAACTTTGTTGTTACAGCTACACGCCTTCTAGAAGACAAATTGGATTTGGTGAACAGCACCGTTGGTACTGGAGGGATGGATTATTTGGAAAGCCCAGTAAGCGATGGGACGATTGAGGAAAACTTTGAGGAAGCTTTGGTAGATGCTCCAGTTATCGAATCTGGTGTGTGACCTTTTACCTTCTGTTAATAGCCACTAAATGTCATGGCATTCTCAGGGCATAGCAGGTGAATTATGTGTAGAACATTGTACAGCTTGTTTTATATTGCATGGTGTAAGGATGACAAAGGAAAAGTAACAATTGTTACGCTTTTTTAATCCATTTTGCATATAATAACATAATGTACAAGCGTTACATTCGAGCCCTATGAAGCAGGATAATGGAATATTGTCTATGGGACATACATTTCTTTGATGAGACAAAATTATTCCTAGAGGGCTCGAATTATTTTTGTTCAATGGTGTTTTTAGTTGACAACAAATTTATTACGAATATGCCTGAAATGTGCATCGATTCTAAAACTTTCTATTACAAATAATCTCTCTATTTATGAACAGCGGAAGATCTTGCTGCTTTGGACAGAGAGCTCGCCGACGAAGAGGATTATTTCGACATATCCAAACACGGTATTGTGGAAGTAGTTGGAGATGACAGTGCCGGTCGCAAAATAATTGTTGTGTCAGCCTGCAAATTACCTCCTATAGGGAAAGAGGTCTTCAATCATGCTAAACTTCTTAGGTGAGTCTGCGATATGCATACATTATAAAATAACACGCGAGACATTTATTCGACACGCGAATAATGATTTATAATTGTCTGTAAGTGTTTTTAAAGATTTTTGTGTCATTCTGCAGTATTGTTTTTATAAATTGTTGCAACATACTTGTTCACTGTTTCGATTATCATGTCTTTTCTTCTCTTTTATTATTAATAAAATAGATTTTATAACAATAGACATTTTATTTTTTGCAGGTATCTTACACATACTTTAGATACATTTGTGGAGCAAGATTATAGTCTCGTTTATTTTCATTATGGCCTTACATCAAAAAATAAGCCACCTTTATCCTGGCTTTGGCAAGCGTATAAAGCGTTTGACAGAAAATATAAAAAAATCTCAAAGCCCTTTATCTAGTACATCCCACAAACTTTATTAGGTTTGTGTGGCAAATATTTAAACCGGCTATTAGGTATGCAATTTTTTCTTTTCTATGTTAAATACTTCTTTGAATTATTATATACTGTATATGAATAGACGAATTATATTTTTGCAGTGTCAAATTTGGACGAAAAATGATGTATGTTAATTATCTGGAGGATTTAGCACACTATATTAAGTTGGATCAACTAATTATACCTCCTCAAGTGATAGAGTATGTAATTTAATTATGCTAAAACCATGTGTTGAAATCTTGATAAAATTTATGTTGATTCGCAACTTGCATAATTCAATTTACATGATTTTTTCAGACACAATAATCAACTGTTAATAAAGAATAAGAAATATTTGCCAGCAAGTCCGCCACAAAGTGCGGTAGCTACACCAGTTGGCACAACTCAATTCGGTGCTAGTTTGCAGTTTATAAAGGAAAATAATAACGGTGATCCGATACCACCTATCCTGAGGCAGTGCGTGGAATTTCTCGATACACCAGATGGTACGCTATCTAGATATGATAAAAAATTATTATAATATAAATAGATTTAATAGAAAACTATTCTTTTCTTTGGAGATTGAAACAATAATCGTTTCATCGTCGTTTTAGCACTGGAAACGGAAGGTATATTCAGAAGATCGGCCAATGTGGCGGTGATCAAGGAACTTCAGAATCGTTGCAATCAAGGTTTACCCGTCGATTTCCAAGGAGATCCGCACATTGCCGCGGTTCTACTCAAGACTTTTCTTCGTGAGTTGGACGAACCTCTTATGACTTATGAACTGTATGATGAAATCACGCAATTTCAAAGTAAGCATCATGTTTTCCTTATCTTTTTTTTCAAAATAATTATTTATTTAACGAGATAAAGCATCCTTTGAATTTGTGTTGTAGCGTTATCAAAAGACGAACGTCCACGTAAAGTTAAAATATTAATATTGGAAAAACTACCTGAAGACAACTATCAAGTTCTTAAATACGTTGTACAATTCTTATCGAGGGTACGTAGCTAATATACAATCGCGATTTCCTGAAAAAAAAAAGATAAAAATTCTTACTTATATCTTTTTACTTTTATAATGTAGGTCATGGATCGATGTGACTTGAACAAGATGACTTCTAGTAATCTGGCGGTTGTATTTGGACCGAATCTAGTTAGAGCACCACCGTCATGTGGAATGTCCCTCACCGCGATAGGATTCATAAATCAATTCGTAGACTTTTTATTTACTTATCAAGATAAGATTTTCATTATCTAAAAACGCCGAGGGCCTAATTGTCACGCATTCGGTTGTTCACATTATCACGCGTATAACGTCCGCACTTTCGTTTTATTGAAATATTTTTATATCCGACGTGAGATAAGAGAATACAGGAAAAAACACTTAATGTTCGTTTACACGCAATTTTGCACAAGATTTTTTAATACAAGTAGGTACAATAATGTTTTCGGACGAGAGGATTGAACGTTCGAATGGATGCAATTTACGTGTGTATATCTAGAGAGAAATTACGACCAAATACCAAAGATACATGAGAACGTCACGCAATGAATATAATATGTAAGATTATCTAAAAACATATAGCGTTTAGTCTAATTTAAAAAAGCATAGAAAATAATATATTCAAGGATGAAACAAAAATATTCAGCTGGATGCCACTGAGATAATCACGAGATCATGATTTTATCGCGATTTTTTTGTCTCGACTTTTGCTTTAATTAATCTTTTAAATTATATAATTATATACATTATATAATTATATAAATAAAATTTTTAGATAATAAGCTAATGTTATATTAAGATAACTTATTATTATTATTTCTTTAATCTAAATAATCTTTCAAGCTTTATCAAGTTTCTTTTATTTTAATGTTTCTCTTATTTTATTTAAAAAATCTAAATTATAAATCGATTTAATTTCTTATTCTGATAAATATGTACATATCTGCAACCAGCTTCTGTTATTCATCTTCAATGAAAAGTTTCATGAAAAAAAGTTTTGGTATATTCTTTGTTTAAAATAGAAGAAATGAATACTACATATAAGTAATGAATCTTTTTAATATTTGGCATTTTTCGCATTTGTATATATTGGAAAAATTGATTATTCAGTCACATAAAATAAATTGTGGTCTAACAAATGTAGTATATATAATATTATATTTAACTCTCTTAAAAGAGATATATCTGTGTAATACAGGAAGATTTATATATGTAATATAGAAAGACATTGTGTTAACTTTAAACAATGTAAATGAACATTTACTTTATATAAGTAACAAAACATTCTAGTAGTATTAGATAGTATTATAAAGATTGTATTTTCTACTTTAAACCATTCTCATTCTTTCATGACATTTTTTAGCAATTATAACAATAAGTAAAATAATTTATACTGTTTAAAGTTAACATAATATTAAAAAGCAAGTGTGAACACGATAAAAAGTGATTAGCATGGCTGTTGTGGTAACTCAGTCATTGTGTATAAATTCTAGTGATCTTATGATAATTTTTTTCGAATTATAATCTTGAGGAAAAAAATAATTCGCCTGACTTGATAGTCGCTCGAACATTTTTACAAAAACAAAAACTACAAAAAAAATGAGAGAAAGAGAGTGAAAAAGAGAAAGCTTGTGTGGCGTGTAATAAATGTTGTGTGTATAGTTTAATGTTTTTAAAACTAATTTTTGTCTCAATTTTGTCCATTGTTTAGATGTAAAGAGATAAGAGATTTAGTAATTTTCGCGGAGCGCACCGCAAATTTGTATATCCCTTTAAATAGTCCTGCCATTATGGGTAACTGGGATAAAAGTATGGGCTGATGGAGCCTAAATTCTCTGCTCTCTATCATCGAAGACTAACCCAGACCTGTATAGAACTGATGTGACTCGATTACATTCCTCGTTGTTATCAATAAAAGAGCATGTAATAAAGCATGTTAATTTGTAGATGTACAGTTTCACTTTTTATATGCAATATTCACTAAAATCCAAACTGTGTACTTTTGGAGCATGATGGGATCATGGTATAATGTTAAATGAGATATTTTTTCCATAACGTTAATACAACTTACCATTTTTATGTTCATAAAATAACTTACAGTAACAATAATTTAAACTTTACACTCAACAATTCTATTGTATTGCTAATTTATATAATTTCAAAATAAATGTATTGCAGTGTTACTTGACAAATGATCCAAATTAATATAATGTATAAAATTATCGATATTTAATATGTACATTAAACCCTAAAATATTATTTTGGATAAAAGCTGAAAAAAAATATTTTATCTAGTCTTCCTTCAAAATGTCCTCGATTCACAATACAGCCGCACACACATCAATCTAAAGCTTTTGTCGAGAAATTAGCTAAAGTTTAGCCAATTAGCAATTGTGGCAATTCATGAATATATATACAGATATTTCTCGCAAATATATATATCGACATACACACGCATTCACACATACATAATGCATACACAAGCATACAAAAAAATGAAACATTTGTATAATGTGACAAATTATTATCACAGAGAATTTACTTTTGTTGAGATACTAATCTGTCACGACTTGTTGAAATGCTTCGTCCCGTATATATAACTCGTGGATTATTCGAAATTAGACCTTGTCTGAAGTTGAATGTAAAATCTTCTTTCGAAGATCTACGAAAGGCCGCTGCCACTGCCACCACAGCAAGAACTTCTACTCGGTTGCGTCTGCTCGCTTTCGTCCTCGACCATTACAACATTGCGACGTGTGCTATTGGTCCTTGTAAGAGTAGATTTTTGCTCGGCCTCGTCCGCGCGTTCCATCATACGTCGTGTCAGGTCTAAGAACATCTCTTCGATGTTCTGATTTAACTTGGCTGAAGTGTGAAAATGCATAGCTCCCACCTGTTTGGCATATCTGAAAAAGAAAATTTGTTTGATATTCGTTCATTATTCATAACGAAGAAAGAAACACGGTCCAACTTACTCTTCTGCTTCGTCTATGGCAACATTTCTATCCTTCTCCAGGTCCACTTTATTACCTGCTATCACTAAGCAAATTTCGCTACCTAGCATCTTCTTGAGTTCTTTCACCCAGTTTTTTACCTAGCAATAAAAGAAATGGTAAGTATTTATATGTTTTTTAATACAAAGTATTTTTTAACTGTACATGATAATAGATAATGTTTTATATAATATGATAAATTTGAAGAGCAGAACACTGATAACATGATTAAATTTGATCTATAATATATTAATATAGTTATCATTTTCTTATTAGATTATTATATTATTTGAATCATAATCTATGACTTTGATTGAATTTTAAGTCCATACTTTTTGAAAAGTGTCTTCGTCCGTAATATCATAAACAAGGATGGCACCATTGGACATTCTGTAATAAATTGGTCCTAATGCATGAAACTTCTCTTGTCCCGCTGTATCCCATATTGCCAGGTTCACTCTTTTTCCATTGATATTCAATTTCTTATTCAAAAATGATGCCTGTGAAACAGTACCAACAAATTGTCAACACATTTTTAATCGATACAAACTTTACAATCAATTAATAAATAAAAAGTCGACTTTTAAGAAATTATACAGAAGTTTTTTTTAATCAGCTTAAAAGCCTATTGCACACAAATTAGATTTTAATTTTTAGTATACACATATCTATATGGCTTCTCTTTACATATTTATGTAATAATATGAATTTAGAAGACTTATGAATGTTGCAGAAAGAAATTTCACAAATTCATTCTAATTTTATATTTTAAAAAGAGAGATATTAGAAAAACCCCATATATAAACTTATATAATAGACTCTAAAAGAATATTCATTATATATATGTATATGTTATCATGTAATATCCATTTAGAAGACTTGTGAATTCTGCAGAAAGAAATTTCACAAGTTCATTCTGCTTTTATATTTTAAAAGGAAGAGATATTACCAAAAAAACCCACATATAAACTTATATAGTGGAAAAAAATATTCATTGTATATGTATATTAATGCAAAAATTATGTATATCAGTAGAACCGAGAAAACTAACAGAAAGAAAAGATCTGATCTTGCGATCAAGATAGAAATACGCGATTCACCTGCAACGTAGTGATATGCTTGTCATTGAACTTGTCCTCGACGTATCGAAGGGCGACCGAGGTCTTGCCGACACATCCCTCGCCTAGGAGAACCACTTTAAAGTTGTATCCGGTGCCGACGACCGGACTGGCCATAATCCCCGGGGGATCAGACAACTAAGGTTCGGCCTTCGGAAAGGGAAATTACGCCGAGCGTGTTAATCCGCGGTATATCGTTATCTGTCAAAGTCCTGTAGACTCGAGAGCCGGGGATTCTTCGCACTTATTAAACCTCTCTATGGATGGTGGTGAACGTCGTGAACGAGATCCCGTTTGCGACCGGACACGGTGGAACAACGACGACGACGACGACGACGAGTGTATTTAAGTGTCCGCTGCGCTAACCCTAAGGAATCAGCTGTTCCGCTCCATGCCATTACGCGCTACAATCGGCGCATTTTTCGTAGCTTCGTAATCTAACTGGCTCTCTCTCTCTTTCTTGAGTCGTACGCATACACATAAGTATATATGTATATATATATATACGAGACATTAATTTCGCTTTTCCGAAAATGACAGATGGAATAGTGAGATTTGCATATAAAATATATTTCATCGGAACATCAAAATCTTTAATCTCAAATAATTAAAATTGAATAAATCTTAGGTACTTGATTTTCCTTCTTCATTCATAATCTAATAACGCATGCGCAGAACGATGGTATTTCGTTGCGCGCGCAATCATATACACGCATAATTCAACTCTTTCTTTCGCTAATCATATTTCATTAATAATAAATAATATAAATATATAATATAAAGTATAATAATAAATTGATAATTTATTAATTAATATATATATTATTTATATTTATATTATATATTATATAAATATAATAATAATATAATATATATATATATATGTATAAAATATATTATATATTATAAATTATAATATATTAATTAATATATTATAATCAACATAATGAATAAGTAGTAAATAAGTACACATAGAGAATGTGAATTGCGAAAATGGAATAATAAAAAAAAAGAGAAAGGGAAGTTTTCTTTTCGCAAAGAATCTCTCCGTTTTTCTATTTTTTCCATATTTTTATGTAAAAAAA